GATCCCTCCAGCACTCTGGAAGAGGAAGCGGCTTACAATCTCGCTGGTTGGGCCATTAAAGGCCAGTTTATGAAGTATTCGGGATTAGAAAAGGAATGCATCAAAGTTCTGCGAGATGGACTTCCGGCCAGACGCTACGAGCAGAGGGCGAGGGCCTTTATCTTACGGTGCCTCGGTTTTTTTTTCTTCCCCGACCAGCAGGGGATTGGCGTGAATCTTTATTGGCTGCAGCTGCTGGATGACATAAACGGGATTAAGGGGTACAACTGAGGTTCAGCGCTCCTGGCCGCTGTATATAGAGCGTTGGGCACTGCCTACGAGGCTAGAGAACAATGGATCAAGAGCTATGTGCAATTGATTCAAGTAAGTTTATTTTCTTCTTCTTTGAAATTCATTATTTTTTATTATAATTAGGACTAATATTTAGTAACAAATGCATATGTCCATATGTGTAGGTTTGGGCGTGGGAGCGTATCCCTCTATTTGCCCAAAAATGAAGTCCACATTGTTTGATTCGATTGGTGGTTGTCCCTTGGGTGCCAAGTAATCAGATTTATTTATATTTAATACGTAGGTTATTTCCATTATCGAAAATTGTGATTACAAACTTTATTTTTCTGTCATTTTTAAGGTGGGTGGGACCGAAAGTCTAAAAGATGTAGGCAAGGGAATGGCCGCAGGATCAGTTGACAGGGCTGCTAGAGACAGATGTAAGATTTTTAAGTCTTAATTATTAATTTATTCTTCTTTTTTGTTTTTAATTTTTTTGTTTATTAATTCCTAATTATTTTTTTTTTCAGTTCATTTGGATGCCCTATCAACAGTACCTGCAAGATGGTACTCTCCCGGGTGAGTGCACAGAAGGTACACAATTTTGGATGTACCGGGGGTGGATCTTTTGTTGGAGCACACATGAGCTACACTTGCCTGATAGAGTACTCCGACAATTTGGGTGTCGCCAGTCCATCCCCCAAAATCCGATCATTACGTGTGAGCAAGACTGGGCCAGACACCACGCCGGCCAGAGAATGACTGGGAGGGCATTCCTTGATTGGGCCGACTATCATTCACCGTTCACCTTGACCTGGGAAGAAAGAGAAAAAAAATCTCCTCCCACTTGCCCCTGTGTATGACTTCCTGCAGCCATACCAGGGTTACATTGATTGGTTTCACAGTAAGACTGTGAGACTCCTCAGTAACCCTGGTAATTACCAGGCGTTCCAACAGGCCGGCTGCTATCAGCCAATTGTCGAGCGGTTAGCGTGCGGGTAAGTGTATATAACTTGTGGTATTATTATTATTATTATTATTATTATTATTATTATTATTATTATTATTATTATTATTATTATTATTATTATTATTATTATTATTTGTTTCATACTAATTACTTTTAATTTTATTTTCAGTCTTCTGGCATGGAGGGCGTCTATAACTCGATAGAGAGTAGTCAACACTTGATGCCTACACTCCATCCAGAGGTGCAGACCGCATTCCAACAGTCATACAACTTTGCCTATACTTATCTAACTGTTGGAGGCCAAGGTATTACACAAACGGCGTAGTCAAGTCAAATTCTATCCCAGGACGAGTACGTTTCATCCCAGAGGACACAGTCCACATCACGAGGCATCGACCCGCCCCCAACATTAGTGGGGGTAGAAGATCTCAGGCCCGCCCAACCAATCAACCGTCCCCCGAGCCTGAAGAACCTGAGAATCTCGAGCCTGAACAACGTGAGATTTATTTACTTAAGAAAAAGATTAATTTTTTTGACTTTTATTTTTTATTTTTTATTTTTCTCAAGTCCAATTTGTGATTTTTTTACTAAATTAATTACTTAGGTGAAGAAGACTCAGATGAAGAAGACTCAAATGAAGAGAATGAGTCAGATTCCGAAGATCTCACACAGACTCTTACACCCTCGTCTTCTTCACGGCCAAAGGTTTGGAAGGGTCCCGAGTGCGCAGGCCTAGGGATCCCTTCACTCCTTCATAGTTAGTTTGTGTTAGTTTCTGTTGTATGTATAAATTGTACTCCCTCCTATTTTTTTTTTTTTAAATGTCATTCTAGCCTTTTCAACTATTTGCCAAATAAATGTCGTTTTGGATCTTTTGTACATATTTTTCCATTATTACCCTCATTTAGCCAATAAATACATTACGTCTTTTATATTCACTCTTCACTTTTTCTCAAAACATTCATCTATATCTTCATTAAATAAGGTTATTATTGACAAAAAAAAATTTTAATTAGTGTGCAACTTCTCAAAACGACATATATTAAAAATAGGAGGTAGTATTTGTTTTGTACGTATAAACTTTATTTTGACCTTTTTGGTATGTAGTGTTTTTTAATAAATTATTGTGGTTCATCTTTTTTTTATATAGTGTATGTTGGATTATTATTTGGCGAATTGATTGGTATTAGTTGGTTGAGCAAGTTTATTTGGTTGTGATTTGTTGAACAAGTTTATTTCGTTATGAGATATTGAACAAGTTTATTTCGTTGAAAAAATCGATGCCAGTTTTTTTTCGACAGACTAAAACGTATTTACAGAATACGGTTTATATTTTATTTTATTCGAAAAACGTATTCCTAGAATACGTTTTAAGGCCAAATTGAAATTTAAGGCAAAATTGAATTAGGACAAAATTCAATTTGGGGAAAAATTGATTTTTAACATAAAATGTATTATTAAAATAAAACGTATTATTAACATAAAACGTATTATTAAAATACGTTTTATGTTTGAATTTTTTTTTTCGGAAAAAATATTATTTTTAAAAATTATAAAATTATTTTTATTTCTAAAACACATTTACGGAATGCGTTTTATAATTAAAAAATTTATTTAAAATTAATTATAATTGTAAAACGTATTACGAATTATACGGTTTGATATAAACTGTATTTTGGTTATGCGTGTTAACTTAATTTAATTATGTTAATTAAGTTCATTAATCATTTTTTATCATATCGTATTCGGAGAATACGTTTTTAATTATAAAACGTATTACGATAATACGTTTTACAGTTAAAAAGGTATTCCCGGAATACGTGTGTTTGATTTTTTTACACCTTTTTCATTTTTTGTTTTTGTTTTTGTCCACTTTTTTTTTTTATTTTTAAATAAATAAATAAATCAGAAAACCTCACATTCTCATTGATATTTACCTCCTCGGAACTATTTGTCCGAGAAAAATACCACAAGTAGTTGGCCTAGAATTGGATTGCAATGAATACACTTTGAGTGCAGTTTAATGTCTATTTCTCAATTGGGAAAATTGAAGTAATAAATTTTATATGGACCAGACACAAGTATTTTTTTTTTTTTAAGAATTGCTTGGGGGCTATGTCGATAAAATTAATGATATGTACAGGGCATGGAGAAGTTATTGATAACCTAACCATTTTGCTGTCAAACCTAACCTCTCACACATTCAATCCCAAGCAACCCAAAAAAATAAAAAATAATAAATAAAAATAAAATAATAATAATAATAATAATAATAATAATAATAATAATAATAATAATAATAATAATAATAATAATAATAATAATAATAATATTTTTGAGGCCTTAAGGTGTGATAAAAAAGAAAAAAAAGCAACCCAAAAAAAAAATCAGAAATAAAACCCCCCAAAAAAAAAAATCATACCAAAATACAAATATGAAATATAACCATTTAAAATAATAGTCATATTTGAAATAACACAATTATTCTTACTACTAAAATCGTATATTTATAATTCAACAGTTTTTTATAATAAAGATAATTGTGTCATTTCACAAAAAATAAAATGACGACTATTTCATGTTTCAAAAAAAGGTAGCTAATTTTTTTTTAAAAAGCTACTTGCATAGTTTTTAAACTCGACACAGAAATCGACTCGAGCAGGTCTTCGGGTCACGGGGTCACCGGTTCAATCATCGGGTCACCGCCCACCCGTACTGGTTCCAGCTCCGAGTCGACCCGCCGAGCGGTCCGGATCAAAAAACAACGGCTACATGACCATTTAGTGATATTATCACCAAAATAAATAAATAAATAAATAAATAAAATTTACTTCATTAGGACAAAAAAAACTATTTTTTTTTTTTTCCTTCAAGTTTTGTTAGTTGGCAGTTGCTCGTACGTTATTACAATTCACACCTCTTCCCCATAAGTTATTATATATCAGCCCAAACACCCCAAAATGAACACACAAAACTTGCCTTTTTGTGTCACCAATACAGAAGAAGAAAAAGAAAGAAATAAATATTTAAAAAGGGCTCTCCATTTCTCTGCAGAGATTTAATCATCAAGAGCTCATCTATCTATCTATCAATCACCCAAACACATCACAGATGATTAGAAGCAAAACTAAAGGCTCTGTTTGGAGGAGGAAGAAGAAAGTGCGAATGGATGATCGGGATAAGATGTCGGATCATACAACAATCAGCAGCGGCGACAAGAGGATAACGAAGTATCAACTCTTATCCTACCATCAACTGCCGGATTATATGAAGGATAACGAGTACATATTGCATTATTACAGGGCTAACTGGCCTATAAAACAAGCTCTCTTCAGCTTGTTTAGTTGGCATAACGAGACACTAAATGTCTGGACGTAAGTATTTTGTGACTTTAATTTTTATGTGAATAATTAGGCGAAATTTTTATGTGTTTTTAGTTCTTAGAATCGAACATTTTTTTTATTTGGTCCTATGATTTTAAAATTTAACGCAATTTTAGTTTTTTGGGACTGCAAATGCAACCAATTTTAAATTTTGGTTGCGTTTTCAGTCCCAAAAGACTGAAATTGCAGCAAAAAGTTGAAATTTTGGGACAAAAAAATACTACGACGTTAAACCAGCATGATTTAAAACGCCATTTTGATGAATAATTATTCATCATTTTTCTTCTAATTAATTTGACATTATTTGGTGCAGGCATTTGCTTGGGTTTTTGTTATTTGTGGGATTAACAATATCTAATCTAGTGGATGTGCCTCAAATGGCTGATTTTATCACCATGATTACTGAGTAAGTTCCACTAACTTACACCTACGCTAAATTTTACATAATCTGGTAAATAATTAAGGAAGATGCTACTCTCTCTCTCTCTCTCTCTCTCTCTCTCTCTCTCTCTCTCTCTCTCTCTCTCTCTCTCTCTCTCTCTCTCTCTCTCTGATCTCTCTCTCTCGTTACAAAACGATTCCGTCAAAGTTTGTAACAGTGAGATCAATTATCTTTAACGGTAACATGATGATCTAACGGTTACAGACCACGACCGAATAATTCTGTAACGAGATCTTAGCATTTTTCATTAATTGTTCGACTATCGAAATTGGTATTTAATTTTGTAATATTTATATCAGCAATTAATAATTATTTATGCGGCTTTACTCAATATTTAAGTAAGTCCTATTATATGGAGTACAATCTATATATATATAATTACTAGCTAATAGCATTTAATAAAACTTATTTAATTTTACCTATGTGGCAATTTAACATTTTTCCCTCCAAAAATCGTTACTTTTGATGTATTTAATCTTTCATTAATTATTAAATAATCAATACTAATCACTTCAAAATTACAAAAATCATTTTCAACTTTTGATTACTGACAGTTGACCATATAATGTGTTGACCGTATAATGTGATTAGATGTTATTATTGTGGTTACATTTAAATTATTATTTTTTTAAAAAATAAAAAACGTATTTGAAATTCCTAAATAATAAATTATTCGCAAAAAAAAGACGTACCAAAATATACATTACATCCAATCAGATAAACGCAATTTAAAAAAAATAAATATTCCAACTCTTTTAATTGTAAATTTTGCCAGAAAAAAGGTCAAAGAAAAATAATTAATCATTATATGCATACAAATAACTCACAATACTTTATTTACATCTGTGCAAATGCACAGGGTCGAATACTAGTTATGCCGTAAATTTGTTCTTTGTGTTCTTTTCAGTTCCCCTATGTCCTTTTTTTCATTTTTTTTTTTAATTTGTTTAGGCTACTTTAATTCAACAAATTGCATTTGTTCAAGAATTTGGTAAATTATTTATTTTGCGTTTATTTAATTTTTTTTTTACCGTTGAATAATAATTATGAATATACAAAGTTAGCCAAGATTTCGAAGAGAAGCAATAAATATTTGTACAATTATTATACCGCTAACTAAATGATGGAAAGAGACATGGAACTATAATTTAATAATGTAATTAATTATTTATTTATACAGCTCATGCACTCTGTACCTGGAATTAGTTGTGGGGTTGATGCCATTAAATTGGCATAATAAGGGGATGCTTAGATATAAAAAATTTTGGATTTGTTTGGATTTTTTGGTTTGGTTTGGTTAATTTTGAAAAAGGTTGTATGGTTAGTTGTTAGTAGATATATTAAAATAATTTTTGAAATATAATAATTAAAGTTAGTTTGATATAAAAGTATGAGAAAGATGATTTGAAGTGATGATTAGTTAAATTATGTGAGTGGGTGAATAGTGAATTAAGGTTGATGTGATGTGTATAAATGATTGGTTGATATTATTTAATTATAGTAAAATATTGATGATAGTGGGGTTGAGTTAAAAAAGTGGTTGAGTTAAAAATGTTTGGATTTTTTTGAGATAATTTTGTATCCAAGCATACTCTAAGCAACCCAATTTTATAGGAAGATATATGCACCATCCATTTCGTCAGGGTCTGTAATCGTTAGATCAACTATCTCTAACGGTTACATAATGATTCAACGGTCATAAATCCCGACGGAATGATTCTGTAACGAGCATCTTCTAATTTTATATGATATTTGTAATTACCTGTACAAGAATCTACCAATTCATCCGACGTTATTCCTTTATTTTCTTTTATATTTTATTTTTTTGTAGAGGCCCACATTTTAACAATGAATTGTTAATCATTATTATTAGTATTATTATTTTTTGAAAGAATTATTTAATGAATAAATTGACATTACAGGTTGTGAATATAATTTATTTATTAAATAGAGAAAAGAGTGATTGAGCAACTTAATTAAGACCAGTTTTGGCAGCTAGTGAAGTCAATCACATGCCCCATTTTAGCAGAGTAGCCATGTGCAGTAGACATCCAAATTCCAACAAATATGAGTCTGAAAAACCCAATTATTATTAATTATAATCTACAATTTAATTACAAGTCTCCAAAATTAATTAATTTATAGGAAAAGCAAAATAAATAATGAAAATATTTTATTATATTATTTTTTTGTATAATATTAAGGTTTAATTGCAAAATATAGCCACTATTTTTTACGCGGTGGCAATATTAGCCACCATCTTTACGAATTGGCAATATTAGCCAACAACTTTCAAAATTTTGGGGTTATTTATCATGTTCGACCATATTCGATGACTATTGTTGTCAATGCGTAAAAAGATACTAACTATATTTTGCGATTTATCTTTCGAATCTGATCGGATTTGGGTAATAATCTCGAAAATTTGAAAGTTGTTGGTTAACAGTGTCAATTCGTAAATATGGTGGTTATTCTTGCTACTACAAGATACTGACTATATTTTACAATTTAGCCTAATATTAATTAATTTGTTGTGGTTTTTTTTTGCAGACAATATCCAGAATCCAGCATGATCTTCAACAACTTATCATCATCATCATCATCCTTGGTAATTGGTAATAATAATATGTCACTGCCAGCTAGATCATCAGGCAGATCAGTAGAATATGTGCAGGACTCGCGCTGGCCGTTGGTGGTGTTCTTGTGCGGGGCAATGCTGTGCCTCCTCTGGAGCAGCAGCTGCCACCTGCTCTCGTGCCACTCCAAGCGCCTCAACACCCAGCTGCTCCACATGGACTACGTCGGCATAACCGTCATGATAATCACCTCCTTCTTCCCCCCAATCTACTACGTCTTCGAGTGCCAGCCCAAGTGGCAGCTCCTCTACCTCGGCTCCATCACCGCCATGGGCGCTTGCACGATCATAGCCCTCCTCTCCCCGGCCCTCTCTTCAGGAAAACACCGCACTCTCCGAGCCCTCCTCTTCGTCTCCATGGGGCTCTTCGGAGTGGTCCCCGCTGCCCATGCGCTGGTCATCAACTGGGACCACCCGCACCGCAACATTACCTTAGCCTACGAGGGGGCCATGGCCTTCTCCTACCTGCTCGGGACGGCTTTCTATGTCACCCGTTACCCTGAGAGGTGGAGCCCCGGCTGGTTCGACCTGGCCGGACACAGCCACCAGATCTTTCACGTCTTCGTGGTCTTGGGGGCGCTCGCGCACTATGGAGCCGCGCGCATTTTCCTCATCTACCGCCCCGGGGTTGCGTGTGCCGCACAACCCATTCTTTGATTTCCTTTCATACTACTTAATTATTATACATTCAAGATTTTCATTATTATGTAACGTGCTGGATATTTGATTCATTTATATTCTGCTCATTCTAAATGCAAATTTTTTTTTTTTTTAGGTCGGTATATATTATAGAAGGGTGTATTCAATTAGTACTTTTAATGATTTTTTAAGACTTTTTAAAATTGATGACTTTTGTGAACTTTATGCAACTTTTAGTGATTTTGTGGATTTTGTGAGATTGTTTGAGAATTTTCATGGAGACTTTTTAAGACCTTCAATGTGAACATTTTGTGACTTTCTAAGACTTTAATATATATTTCTTAATATAATAATTAAAATCTTTATTAAATGATCATAAAAATAATGTGCATAATAACGGTTATCAATAAATACAAATATATAAAATTATAATAATTTAAAATGTGTTATGATACTAAGCACTATACATAGAGCAAGAATGAAGATAAGAGAAAAAAAATATTATAACAAATTAACTCGATAAAAAAATAAACATGAAAAAATTCAACAATAATAGAACCAAAAGAGTACAATAGTTATCTAATCGATATTTTAGTAAAAGTAGAAAAAAAAAAAGAACAAATATGAAATGAACAATACATCAAATATATATTCACATCATTCCACATGTTCGTTGCCAAATTCAATCTCCATGCATTTGCGACTTATTGTTCCTGTTCTTGACTCTCAAAATATGGCTCGAAATCTTGCGTTTCATCTTCTATCGAAACCCCATCATCAACGTCAACTGAAAATTCATCAGATCGACATTTTTTGCGCAAAAAATTATGTAATCCCGCACAAGCTAAGACTAGCTCTGCTAGTGTACGATATGGGAAAGGAGGGGCTGATTTAAAAATTGTGAAACGAGATTTAAATATGCCAAATATTCGCGCCACCACATTTCATAAAGAAGAGTGACGAAGATTAAACAATTCTTTTGCATTTTCAGGATGACGCCCTTGACCAGAAAAATCTTGAAGGTGATACCTAGTACCTCGAAAAGGAGCCAAAAAATGACGTCGATTTGGAAATCCACAATCCACGAGAAACCATTTACCTAAATATAAAATATTGATTAGTAACTCATAAGTCGTAACATGTCATATCATGAAAAAAATATATACATATGAAAGAAATAAATTGATTTGTAATTTGTAACTTGTCTTCTCATTAAAAAATTGTGCAAATGTGAATGAGTTCTATTTTTTTTTTTTAATCATACCTTGAGGTACTTTGAGTCCTTTTTTCCTAGTTAAAGCATCACTGAGTACTTTGAAGTCATGTGTTGAACCTTCCAACCGCTGAGCACGTAAATAAATTATAGATCAAGGTTGCAAGCAACCAAAACATTTTGTGAAATAATCCCATATGACGATTTCTGTGACTTGGGGCATTTTTTTCAGTCACCACTGATGGAATACATCGATAGCTCCAATAGCATCCTGAACAATCAAAAAGTTCAGTACATAGTTAAATTGCTATTTAACTTCCACCAGGGAAGTTGGTAATTTGACTTGCAATTATTGTGTATTTTGAAGACAACAAAAAACTAATATACTTTAGCATCTCAAATGGAATTGTGAATTGATATAGTAGCTAAATTAATTAATAAATGCTACAGTTGTGTATTCTGAGTGAGTATGCAGTCTTTAACAAAAGATCATTACCACTCCCAAATATATGTTATTTGTCTGAACTTCTGTTCATGCAGATTGCGTGCAAGACAAAATCACTGACTAACAATAATAATAGTAATAACAACAAAACATGTTAAAATAAATAATATCACTTACCTTAAAATGAGGATAAAACCTTGTGTTCTCTCTTACTTTTTCTGGGACTGTAGATCCTGGCATCACCATCATATCAACTGCGAGTCTTTTTAATGTATTTAGAACCTTGTTGAAATTTTGACTTGTTGTGAAATGAGACCGAACGTACATCTTACGAATCACACAATAACGACTATTTTGACCAACGATGAGCAAAAACATTGCAAGCATTTCCTCGATACAGATGTACCTTGTATCTTTTAGCAACCTTTTTTCTCTTATAATGTGAGATAGTTTTAAAAACACTTGAGGATACATCCTATATATTTCTAGAAAGTTATTTGGATCTTCTCTTAAACTTTATTTATATAATCATGCCCATGACTTGTTACTGGTCTCCTTGCCAATGAGCGATTTTCCCCTTGAAGAGAGGAATTAGTTATATGCTCATTCAACAACCATAGAATTGCTTGAATTGCCAAGCACAACAACCTATTAGCTTTATGTACAGTCTCTTCGTAGTCATTTTCCTCATTCTCTTCCATGACGGTGTCATGGTCTTCATGCATCATGTTATCAGATATTATGTGAATACAAGTACCTAAAATATAAGAGCGAAATAAAAAATCATCATCAATGGTATGAAAAACATAAGCCATCAAATAACAATAATATTAATTGTAAAACATCATAATAAATAAATAAAAACCATAATAATAAATAAATAAAAACCATTCGTTTGGTTACAATCTCAAACAAGATTCAAATTTAATATGCATTTATCAATAAGGGAAAATAACAAATACCAAGTCCAAAAATCAAAGTTAAAAATATCAACCAACTGTTATGTCAAATGGATGCAAGAATAGAACATTTTAATTTATATGCTATCAATTTCAAACGTTCTTCCGGTTTTATATTCCAAAACTCTGCTTTCTTTGCTCTAGTGTTAAGCAAATCAAGGACCTTGAAGCGTGAATCATCATCTAAGTTCGGAATCTCTTTTATAATGCCCCAACAGTTTTACGCTTTAGTGTCAACGGACTCAAGAGCACGAACAATCTTGTTAACACTATCTGTGAGATTGTCTGGGTCAGATGCAGTGCTTTTGAGGTTTGCTTCAAAATTGGTTCTGTTTCTCTTTCGAACGGATGGACGTTTTTCTGAACTTTTATGTTGAGCATATGGTGGAGAGTGCATTGGAGATAACGACATATGGTCAAGAGGACTGTCAGTGTTAACAAACGGCTCACAATCTTCATCAAACATAATGTCATCTACGGAATTAACATTTTCTATTCTTTCTTCCATCTCAATATTCATTTCTTCAACATCGTCACCTATCGCAATTGAGCCTGTGCCAGTAGCAGTTCCACATCCAACAACAATTCTCAAATCTTCATAATTAGCAAAAGTGTCTGTCTTGTAACTCGTATCCCCAGGATGAGACTATTAAAAGAAAAGAAGTCATTTAAGCACTATGATATGAAGCATTTTAATTTTATAAAGTACTCTTAATAAAACATTCTTACACTAAAGTAATCTTTCTACAAATGCTCATCAGCAGTAGATTTCTTGGTCTCGCGATCCCAGTCAAAGCCTGAGCTATGTCTCATAAGCTTGAGATATTTATCGTATTGCTTCTTAAACCATTTTACACGACTTTTATTTTGAGCATACGTCTTCTCAGTTCCAAGCGTTGCATTATTTTAAGAGGAGGTAGTATATGTTTCTCAACAGTTACTTTACTTAAATTTCCAAACTTATCACGCCATCCGCGATTGGTTGCATCAACCATGAGTTTAAGCAATTCATTACTCTCTTCGGATGTTTTTCGTATCCTTGAACTTTTTCGTTTCCCTGTGATGAATCTACCATTGCTACTATTGTTGTATGATTGTTAACAACAATTTTATATGAGATTAGCAAGGTGTTTTAATTGATATGAACGTAAAGCATGCATCAAAACAAGAACAATGGCCCCGGTCCGAGGTAAACCGAGGTGAAAGGTGTCGGGCTTTTTGTATATATGTCAATGTTAAGAGTTCGATCCTTGCTTTTTATAGTATCTTTATGGGCCCGTATCTCGAAGTGTGTACAGTGGCTTTATGTAAAGTGGCTTTTTTTAGGGCGGTTCTGTCAGTAGGGCCCACTTGAATGATGAGATTTTTTGTGGTGTTGGACCATGTCACGAGTGCGTCTTGTCACCTGCTTTGGGTGTGGCGACCTCGGTTTGTGGTGACTTCAATTTTCAGCGGGCAGGTCGGTTTTCCTTGGGTTGAGCTGGAGTTTGGTCAAAATCTGAACCGAGGTGATTATAACTAGGTTAGCACCAATGATGACCCGCTTAACGTATGATTTCATGCGAATAACATGGATTACCGGGTCGGATGATAACAGAGAGGCCCCCGGTGTTAGTGAGAATATGTTACTGATGGTCGCTGACACCGTAAGAAATAGTTAAAAACTTCGAGCTGGTAATATGCTGTGAATCGGATTTGGCTATTCTGAGGTGCTCTTATAATCTGAAGTGACCGAAGTGAACAGTCAATTACAAAGTTAGAACACTTGGTGAAATTTTTGGCTGGGAAAGACAGACAAGCGTTAATTGCAGAAGCGACATAACATATAGTAATTAATGTTGTGTGTACTGAAAGGTTGCGCCGTAATAGTAAGGGATAACGGCCATATTAATAGGCTGACACATGTGTTATAGATTCTGACAGAGGAACGGTCGTGTCGATCAGAGTGATATGTTGCATCGGTTACACACGCCCCCAATTGGGAACCCTAACGGTCAAAATTTGCAAGATATAAATATGTCACATGGAAACGCGATCACCTTTTCTTTTTTTACTTTGTCTTCGAAATTCCATGATCTTCTTTCTTGCTGTTGATCTACTTGAGTGCTTGTGAGTTGTTCTCGCGCGTGATTCCATTTCTGTGGGTAACTTCGAATTCTTTGGTAAGCAACACCTTTCAATTTCTGCTGTTTTTGTTTATTTTACTCGTATTCGACACTGTTACTTTATAGCCGGTCGAATGGCATCAAAGGGTAAAGCGGTGGTGAGTTCATCTAGTGTCGATTCGATTACGCTTGATGTGTATCATGACTCGGAGTTGGTCAAATTGGATTTTGAATATTACCGGTGGGATCCAATGTTAGTAAGGCATCTTGATATTAAGCCGAACGATGAAGAGGGC